GGGAGGGGGGCCCCCCCCCCCGCCACACGCGCCTCTGCCTGCGGGAAGGAAATGTCACAGCCACGTGCGAAGGGCATCCACCGCCCTCCCGCCAAACAGCGACCATAGCTGTGGGCACGGGCCACGTATGTCGGGGGCGCGGCCCCTCCCAGAGCCCCGCCCCCCCGGGCAAGGCAGGCCCCCCGCATCCACCGAGAGACTCCCCCCGCCCCCAGCAAAGCCCTGTGCAAGGGGGGAGGGTAAAAACGCAGCCCCCGCCCCCACACCCCCGGTGCAGTGCGGCCCCAGCCGGGCAGAGCGAGGGGAGCCGGCGCGGGGATGAGGCAGGGCCAGGCCAGGCCAGGCCGGGCCCGTCCGTCGCACTCACGCTCTCGTGGTCCCACCGCACGTTGCTGCGCTTCTCGTCCGGGGCCAGGTTGCGGTCCCGGCCCATGAGCTCGTCCAGGAGCTGCGCGGCCGAGATCATGGTGTCCGCCTGCCCGAGGCCCCCGCGCCGCCCGCTGCTGCCGCCTGCCTGCCCTCTCCCGGCCCTCCCCGCCCGCGAGTGACAGAGACAAAATGGCGACGGCCGCGAGCCCTTCCCACAATGCCCCGCGCGCCCCGCTCGGGTCTGTCGGCGCGTGAGCCAGTGGGAACGCGCCCGCCAGCGCGGGGGGACGGGGGGGGAGTGGGCTCAGACCCGGCGCGGTTGTCACACGGCCGGTGCACTTGCCCAGGCGCACTTGCCCAGGGGTGCGCCTGGGCAAGCTTCGTGTTGATGACTCGTAAGCAAATTTTGCAGACTTTTGTTGCCAGTTTTTTGTCTTTTCAGACTTTCGTTGCCGAATTTTTGCCTTTGCAGACTTCTGTTGCTTTTGCAGACTTTCATTGCAATTTTTTGCCTTTGCAGACTTTTGTTGCCAAATTTTTGCCTTTGCAGACTTTCGTTGCTTTTGCAGACTTTTGTTGCCAAATTTTTGCCTTTGCAGACTTTTAGTTTTTTTCAGACTTCTGCTGCAAAATGTTGGGGCCCCCTAAAGTGTGGGGCCCTGTGTGGTCACCTGGTTTGCCATCCCCTAAGGCCACAAGAAGTGACAGCTTTGGTATCCTACCATCTTCCCCCATGAAGCCTGTGACTCCTTGTCCTACCCCCTGTACACATGGCGATGGCCGCTGGCTTCAGAGCAAACAAGCGGTGATGGATCTGAGGCCTTGGCCTTCTTTAAAAGCAGTGCCTGGTTTGCCATCCCCACACTTTAGGGGACCCCCCCAAATTTTGCAACAGAAGTCTGCAAAATTTGCTTATGGGTCATCAAAATTTAGCCTCTAAGGGTCCCCAAATGACTCTTGCGCAGGATCCCAACAACCCTAAGGTCACCACTGTTAAAAGCACGGTGTTAGCAGGTGCAACGAAGTGAGAGGTGATAGTTTCTTAGGGGTGACATCTATGGGGCCAGCTGTGCAGGGGGGCACACTTGGATGAGGTTTCCAACGCAAGATATTCTCCCTTGGGAAGAATCAAGTTAAGTCAGAGCCGCCCTGACCTTGCAAAGAGAACGGCGGCGTGGTAGGAAAGGCTGGAAGGGACCTCAGGAGGTCACGTCGAGTGCAGCTCCCCACTCAAGGCAGGGGCATCCCTGACTAAACCAGCCCATGCGGGACACAATCTGGTGGGGAGGAGGAGCAGCAAGGCGCACCAGGCAGGCAGGCATCAATGCCCAACCCGGGGGGTAGACTGGGCTGGGCACTGCTCCAATCTGCCCGCCTTGCTCCCGCACAGCAGCAGTGGTGCCTGCACCCCTGG